CATACTGACTGAGTACACTGACAGCTGTCCAACGAGTGTCCTGCTGCGTAGTCAATGTCGCATGTGGCTCGTTCTTGTGGTTCCGCTCCTACATCGACGGAAACAGCCTTAACACCGAGTAGGCTGAATATCGAACTTATGAGTGTTATGAACCCGCGCGTGCATGAAGTAGAATACATGTTTCTACCGGCCGGTAGTGCTGCTTGATCGTATCTATTGTTTTATTTGTAATAATACTGTCGTCGACAAATGATATTACAGCAGCAAATTTTGGGCTGCGCACGATCCGTATTTCTAGGACCAGTTATCATTAAGTTATGTTCTACAGATAGGGGGGGGAGGGGTGACTGTATGTCATATTTATTTCTATGTAGTTTGATCTTGCTGTGCACTGCTTAGAGCATTTATCGGCAACTTTCTAAAAGCATCGAACTTGATACAATTGAAGATGAACAGTTCGTTTCCAATAATTGTATAGTACTACATAATCATATAAATATACTGTATAGTACTACATAATCATATAAATATACTGTACATCCTGATATAAATTAGAATAAAGAAATAGTTAGTTTTTCTTCTTCTTGATAGGATGTACGGTGTTTGAACGGGAGTTGAGACGTTATTCGTTTTTTTAGTGAAAGTTCGCACAATTGTTTCAAAAATTGTAAATAGAGACCGTATTTCCATTGGTCGCCATGTATGTTGACCAATAAAATTATACGACGGGCGCGGTCATCAAATCATCGTACATATTTCGTTGTTTTACGGTATGTGAAGACTGAGGAGTGAGGACTCATGAGTGATGACTCAGAAGTCCGGAATCAGGACTTTGCAGCGACCAGGACTGGGTACATAAAACACTGGTGAGTAGTGGCCCGCGCCCCGCGGCCGGGAGGGTCCGCAGTTCCCCAGTCCCCAGTCCCCTCTGATCACTGATCAGTAATATTATTATCCCCCGTAGCCGTAGGCCGCATGTATACATAGAGGGGTATAAACTATTGACGCTGTGGGATTTGAATATGAAAAATAGGAAGATCTTGGTATACGCTGGGTCTGGTCACTGGTGGTCACTGGTGGAGTGGTGGTTTTCAACAATTCGATTACAGAACTTCAGAACCGGTGAAAGTTAAGCTTAAGCCCAAGCCATATTATTGGTTAATGTCTTATTCGTGGGTTTTTCCTTTTTGTAAAAAATAAATAAGGTTTTTTTAGTCATGACAGAAATAATTCATAGTAAAAAAAAAGGCAAAAGCCTTGTGGAGCAGGCACCACAATAAAGCACTTCTTTCAAGCTCTTATAATTGACAGTCTAACTGACAGTTTGAAATTTTGACGGCGAAATGTAGCAATGTGATATTTTTAGTAACATGCATAATTGCTGTGTAAAATTGAAATATGTACAGGGGGTTGCCAGTTGCCAGTGGTGAGTGGGACTGGGGAGTGAGGTCTGGGTCTCTGGGACTAGACTGGGAGTTTGGGACTCTGGATCTGAGACTCTGGGACGCGAGTCTCCCACTGGCCGGCCCACAGCCACAGCCCACAGGGCCGTAGGGCACAGGGCACAGGGCACAGGGCACAGGGCACAGGGCCACAGGCCTTCAGGCCTACAGGCCACAGCCCACAGAGTCAGACTATTGTCGAAGAAATAAATTCAAAAAAAAAGAGCTCAGCTAACGCCGCCCTACCGCGGGGAGTCATGTTTTTATTTGAAATAATTATGAGACCTCATTTTCTCACTCGTCAGGCTTCATGGCTGACTTGGTGCTTTTACTACGACATGTCTGCAAGTCTTAAGATATGTATTTATCAAAATTCCTATGAATGAAGCACATGTACGCATGTTGCACACTTAAAATATACACCCTGCGTGAGAATGGAATATCATATTGTATTCGAATGAAGCAATCAAAGTGCTCATGTCACACACAACGTGCACAATGGAATTTCAATTCTTTTAAACGAATAAATGAATTAATGAATAAATGAATAAATGAAGCACGTATGCTCATGTCACACACGCACCGTGCAGAATCGGCCGCCTATCGGTGGTGTAATTGTAAGCTATGCAGAGGTGCTTGTAGTTGAGTACTCGCAGGAACCTTCGGTCGGTAGTAAGCATTACACGTTGGTGTGATCTCCTCATGTATACCAGTCAATTCTTACGATGTTTCCTTCTTGTCCATAATCAGCTATATGTCCACTCCAAATCGGGTTGCGGCCTCTACTGCGCGTACTACGATATCTATCTTCAGCGAAAATATCTGCAGCATTCCAAACGGAGGATAATACGGGTGGCAAATTGCAATTCGCTATCATTTATACTGTTACAGGCATAAACTAGTACAGCGTGTGCTAATAATATGTATACAGTATACGCACGCTGCACATGTTTAGCTACCTTTCAAAACTCTCACCTGTGGATAGACCTACCACATCGGGCACTCACAAACTTCTGACAATATTCGAATGCAATCAGAATCAACCAAGAAACCCCAGACCAAACAAAATATAGAAGAATCGAATATAGTTGTGTCCTCAACTTTAGCAGAACTTGCAGCATGTTCTCGGGGGATATATGGCCACAGCGTGCTTACGATACCGAGACAATAGTATTGATATGCAACTGAGCGCTATATGTGAGTGTGAAAGATATCCAGCTTGTTTTTAACCCAGTTCTGAAACTTTATACAATAAATATTCTGATTCTATTCTTATCCGACATTTTTCTAATTTGTTAGCCTGCAGGCGTCACCATACGTATGCTCGCAGAGATAATCGATTATGTGTACGTGGTAATCCGGCAAGCTTTCGTAATCCGTAGTCACACTGACCCATTTGACATTGTTATCTCGCCCAATATTTGCCACTTCTTCCCACGAGCTATAACTCTCTGTTGCATCATAAATTATAATCGCGGTTTGACCCATCTGTGTTCCACTAACTGAATCTGTGTAGCCTTCCATGTCATTGTCTCTTATCCATTGGGCCACTTCACTAGGCCAATCACTCACGAATTCATCACGAGGTTTCTCACGCACGCAGTACGCACTGGTAATTTTTTGGTACGGGTAAGATGTACCCCACGTTCCCCCGGCGTTGTAAAAGATGAACGCGTCCGACATTATACTGCGCGCGTAGTTGGTATATCCCTCGTATATTGTATACAATGACTCTCTGGGATCGGCAGGTGCTTCGTCAAAGAAAATGCCAGTAATAGGGCACGGATAATCATAACCAAAGTCGCTACAGAGCCAGTCCTGAACGTTTCCTTTGACATCGGATTCAGGTTCCTCCCCATAGTCGGTAGAGACATACGCAGTCACAATCGCACCGTCGTCGACATATGACTTTACCATATCTGACACGTATTTCTTGCTGTCAGTTGACCAGGCGTTGGCAATTTTCCACTCGTGGTTAATGTTTATCATGATCGGCACCCGTCCTAGTTTCGCCTGCTTGACATAGCCATCGATTTCATCCCACAATCCACCGTCACAAGTTCCATTTCTACATGTTGGCGCCTGGAACCTTGCAATAATTTGTAAACCCTGTCCGATGGTGCAAGCTACAGCTACATTCACAAGGGCAAACAAAGTGGCGACGTACGCCAAATTAAGACTGCACGAGAACTGCATGTTGGAAGTATACCTGGCTTATAGTATACTCGTGATTCAAATTGAATTTTCGAGTATGAAAGCAGATATGAAATATGCACACGCTTTATACTATGTAACTCGGTGGCTTCTGGCCCTATTTGCTTTGAGATTAGTTTATGTTGGCCCGGAATGATAGTCATCGTGGCTTCTGATACAGCGTACCATGATATTAGTTTATATTGGCCCAAGGCGATAGTAATCGTCCTATTAGTTTGCAATATGATTCATAAAGAAACTGACGGCGGACTCTGATTCTCATTATAGAGGCTTTTTTAAGTCATCTGAATCCCTGGGATGCACTCTTAAATTTTGCCTCCAGTCCTCCAGTCCTCCAGTCCCGTGATAATATTTGGATTTTTTGACAATAGCCTCCTAAAATATGTAGAACATATGTTTTGAGTTTTTGACGTTCCAAAAAAACCAAAATGATGCATTTCGCTAGTTGCATATCTATGGCAATTCCGATAATAAAGTAAAAGGCAAAAAAATTCAGTTCTCGGCTTTTTGGGCTCGTAAATTTGAATAATTACAATATTGAGGAATTTTGAATATGTGCTATATTATCCATCCAACATAAAATAATGCTGTGCGCACCCCGTGCGTCTTAAAATAGCTCGTATACTCTCTCAGTGACTCGGTCTTTCTGGGCTTTCCTGACAATAATAGTATACACATACCACAGTGACACAGAGTCACAAATCACAGTGAGGCAAATATTGCAAAATTTGATGAGATCTCGGCACCGTTGCGTTTAAAAAAATAATGTGTTATAAATTTTTGCCGAGGTACTGGTAGCTGGAGTTGGGAGTCTTGACTCTTGAGTCGTGACTCTTGAGACTGGAGTCTGGATTCTGGCCTCAAACCGTTTCCCGTTAAAACTTTTATAAATCAAATACATATATATACGTTTACGTTCAACTTTTACTCCATATGCGGTCCTTTGTGTGTTCGTAGGTGCACCTTTCAGGTCTAAACATTTAAGTATGTAGCGTATCCACCATGCAAACCAGTCTTATATAAATACTTAGGTAGGCCCCTCTGATCCCATTATAATCGTTGAAATTTTAGTACGCGTTTACGTTAAACTTCTATTCCGTACCCCCATAACGGAATGAGCTTAGGTCACTCTGGACTGCTATTTTCAATCTAAAAATCTGCAGCAATTACCAATTTGTTATTTGCTCAGTACAGACTACAGTGTGCAGTGTGCAGTGTGCAGTGTGCACACTGCACGCTCTCAGGACTCAGAGAGTCATAGTTTCATTGCAATCATGACATGATGCATAAACCTGCCGGCCTGCCCTCTCTCTCTTGTTCAACTTGTTGTCAATGTTGTGTGTGTCTTTATTTGGTTGTTTCGATAAATTGTGTTTGTAACAGTCTGAGCATAGTACAAAAATATTGTGAAACACGACTTCCAGTCAAGCCTACACCAAGAGTAAAATGAGCAAATTCCTTGCCTATCGGAACGATCGGGGAGTTGGGATTCGTGTTTCAATTTAGAAGGCTATGGGATTTGTCAATTCGATTTCACAATCGGTCAATTGACAGTCTGCTCACTGCTGTCTGCGGATCGCCATCTTGCCACAAAGTGTGATATTTTATATTTGTATTCTGTCAGCGGACGGTCAGCCGTCATTCACTCATTCCCGAATGAAGTCCAATTGTTCAGCCAGATTCAGAGTCCAGAGTCCAGACAGTCGACACTATGTAGGAGACGGAGATAAGGGTGGTTATCGTCATCAATTCTCGCTAATGTATCTGATTCGCGAACGTATTTTATGAATAGATAAAGGTATAATTATTCAGAAGGCTATGTGTAACTATGTATTGTTTTACTCTTGTGGGTTTTGACTTTTGACTCGGAGTCTGAGAGGCTATGTAGAGATTGTTCCTTCTAAGGTAGACTGATATCTCTCTCTAGTGTAGTCTCTACTCTCTCTCTCTCTAGAGTACATAGTGTACACAATCGACTTTGTCTATACGACCCCGTCACTATAAAAATATTAACGCCCGAGCTCGTCTCCAAAACCGCATCCGGTCCATTCGCAAAGGTAGGGTCGATATTTATGGGCCCATGTCTAGAGACGTAGACCCATACTTCTGAATATTTTTAAAAAAAGATAATTTTTAGCTAAAAAATAATATATAGGCTACATATGTAGCCAAGAGACCTAAGGTATCTTGTATGTAGCCTTCTAATCTATACAAGACCGAAGGCTATGATTATTTGTAGTCAGCTCTAGCATAACTATCGTCTGCTGGTGTGCAACTATCGTGAAATGCCGATTGTTGCGATTGCATCGATTGCATCCCATTGAAGCAATCCATCAAATCTGGTAGTGTGTACGACATGTAAATACTGTGCGAGTTTACAGATAGTTGTGTGTTAGTATGTTGTGTTCTTGCGCTTTGTGCATCTAAAACATTATTGGAAGTATCGAAATTCCTATGTTCGATATTCTGTGTATGCGCATGTTCATTCAATGCAGGTAATGTCCTTGAGTAGGAATGTTGATTCCTATGTTGGTTACGCCTTACCGTATCCGGTGAAGGGTTCCCTACTTCTAATGGATTACCTGACATGCTAACTAATGCAAATTAAGGCCATCTACCTATCTAAACGACTGTTTACAGTACTATTACACCTGGGTTACATATAGCTAGTAGTAAGGTTATGTGTGTTTGTTTGAATTACTGTGTTTGAATGATTGCTGTGAAGCGAGTTTTCGACGGATTGCCGTGTTTTGCATGTCGTTTTCGGCTAATATAAATGCTTATATGTATATATGCTTGCATATTTGTTATATATATGCATACGTATGCGTTTTAAGTATCGTGTGATAGTGTGTATTTTTACGCGTTATATAGACCATATATATATATATATATATATATATATATATGTGTGTGTGTGTGTGTGTGTGTGTGTGTGTGTGTGTGTGTGTGTGTGTTGTTGTT